TCATCTTTTTCAGCAGTCAGCCTCACTTGAAAACTCCCAACACATGCCTCTTAAAGGGACCGGCCCGGTGCCACTTGGCTTGCTTTGTGAATGAGAGAGGGGTCTTTGTGCACCCCCACTTTCACACACACATGCACATGTACTGAATACACTCCTCTTACAGTGCATGTTTAATCTTGGACAGATGTGACTCACTCCCTCTCTCGTTTTCTTTCTCAGAATTACATGAACTCCATCGTTAGATGTTTATTCCAAGGACCTGCCGGTGATGCAGCTGCAGATCAGATCTTGAAAAGTTTACAGCTGTTCTAATAAATCTGAGACACCCTACAGATTTCTTTTAGACGCTTACGTTTGTAATCTTTGGCATTCTTCACTAAGCGTACTTGCGCTCTGGCAGACTTCACGGGGCTTGGCGTGTGCTCAGAATAGCCTGATATTTGCGAAGTTGTAAAAGCACATCTTCAGCTGTTCTTCTGAGCATGAGCTCTGCACCGTCACATCGAGCTGCTCCTGAGCAGGGCGCTCACGCTGATGACATCACTTTGTGGTGCTCAGTGCAACACCTCTGAATAAACACGAAGAAGAACATTTCATTAAAAAGTTGACTGCCAACTGTTCTTGGGAAATAAAAGAGTTAAAACTCTGCTTCTTAAACAACTCAAACTATTTTCAGCTCAGATGGGCTATCTTTATCTCACTTTGTTGTGACAGTCTTTGAAGGTGACAAGTAGACTGTTGTTTTTAGATGTGATTAGTAACTAGTTCTGAGTTTACTCCCTCGATGTGTGTGTGTCTGACAGGAGGATGTATGGTTTTCTCAACACATCCATGCACCAGATACTGTAACGTAAAGATAATAAGATGTGGTCTGTATGAAAACATTGGTTAAGTTTAACTGACCTTACCGTCTGATTTACTGAACCAAGACAAAAAAAACAACAAAAAACATTTTGTGTTGCTCCTGAACTACTTTACCTTAAATGGAAGTTCCTAAATCAAGGGTTTTACTGTAGGTCAGTGTTAATAACCATTAAATGTAGTCAAATTTATTCATTATATAATACCATATTTTTCACTCTATAAGTTGCAGTTTTTTGCATAATTTGCTCGCCCTGCGACTTATACTCAGAAGCAACGTATTTATGGATTTTTTCCATATTTATAAACCAGTTTTTGTCTGAGATATGACCGTTTCCATTCATTGACTGAAAATATTGAACACTACCATTTTCAGCCACTAGATGGCACTCGAGTAGTATGGCATGCCGTTGTGTCATGTAATAGGTAAAAATGGCTATTAATGACACAACCGGCTTGCCATAGACTGCCACCTTCGTCCAGCTCACCTGGAGCAACCGTCAAAAATCAGCTTCATTTCGCTGCGCCGCCCCAGAGAAATGCAGCTCATTTGACCATTGAAGCACATTTATTAAGTGAACGTTCAACTGAGACACATCTTTGCTTTAATTTCAAGCAAGCAAAATTAGTTTTTAAATGTTATTCTTGTTAAATTCTTGTTAAAGTCCTCCCGTGCATGCTCGCACGGTCGCTGTTTGGCAGCCAATCCATTTTTGGCACAACAACAACCCACATTTCCGGATGGTCAGCGGTGACGTGTAGGGGTGTAACGTACGCTAAAATCACATTTCAGTTCGGTTCAGTTTCAAGGAGGGATCGGTTCGCTTAATTTTCAGTACAAAAAAAGCCAAAATAAAGATTTACTAAATGTTTATTTTGAAAATATGCCAAGTAAACAAGTTCAGTCATCACAGACTTCTTAGCTGGAGGTGATCTGGTGGATGAAGAGGACTCAACTTTATCTCGTTGACATCCTCAGACAGCAAACAACACAAAAGAGATAAAAAATTGAGTTAACAAGATTATAATTTTAAATTTAAAAAAGTTAATTAGATCACAATAATACAATAACAATACCTCTTCTTGCATGGTCATCATTTCTGTTGAATATTCTTTCTCGCTCATCATCATGTGGCAGGGCTTTAATCTGGGGTCGGTCTTGTTGACAATATCAGTTTTAGCTTTTTCATAAAGTGCTGCTACAACTTTTTGGCTGAAGTGTTGATGTGATGGGATGTTGTAGGCAGTGGGGCTCAAGAACTTTAATCATATGTCTATATTCTGATTTACTTCATTTTGTATATTGCTTTGTGTGATGCCTGTTTTTTTGTCTGTACAGCACTTTGGTTGGCTTTGTAGCTGTTTTAAGTGCTCTATACATAAAATGGTATGGTATGGTACATGTTTAAATCCGGCACATCAACAACAGAAACGTAGATCCATAGCTTTAAAAACTCCTACAGCTTGTGTTATTGCTTTGGACCAATCTGAATTACCTGATAATGGTTGTTTAAATGCTGCTGTTATCGCTCTTTGTGACAAGCTACGTTCACATGTGGATGATGTCATTTAAAATGCTTTAACAAGTTAGACGTGTTGCCTGCTGCAGATCTGATCTCAGTGAAACAACGTTGACACACAGCTTTATATATATATATATATATGTGTGTGTGTGTGTAAACTGCCCACACGTATTTTTTGATGGAAGTCTTCCTTTCTAGTTTTTATACTGCTTAAAAGTATAGTTTCTTCAAATGATCAGGGTAACCAAAAATAAATCTATGGTGGCCAAGGCCACCATTGTCCCCTCTCTAGCTCCATCATTGCACCTGGTGGTGTATAAAATCACTTCCTTGCACCTGGTGGTGTATAAAATCACTTCCTTCTCTCGCCTGGATCCATCATTCTCTACCACCTTGGACAGATTGCTTCTTCTCTTCTTTTATACAGTGTAACTCCTCCCCACTTGAAAATCCATCCATCCATCATACATCTATCCATTATCTTTACCCACTTCTTCCTTTTTGGGTCGCAGGGGTCACTGGTGCCCATATCCAGCAGTCACTGTGTGAGAGGTAGGGGACACCCTGGACATGTCTCCAGTCCATCACAGGGACACATAGAGACAGATGAGACAAACAACCATTCACTCTCTCACTCACACCTAGGGACAATTTAGAGTTACCAATCAGCCTAACATGCATGTTTTTGGTCTGTGGGAGAAAACCGGAGTACCTGGAGAAAACCTACACATGCACGGCGAGAACATGCAAAATCCACCAAGAAAGGTCCCCCGGCCGGGATTTGAACCAGGGCGACCTGCTCACTGAGAGGCAGCAGCTCGATCAACTGCACCACTATGCAGCCCCCAAAGCTTACTCACCTTCCCTGTTCAGTTCCAGTCCAGTAAAACACTCGTCTCCAAAACTACAAAACATTCACTATTCAAATGATGGGGGACATCGGGGTACAGCTTCTTTACTCAAAGGAACATCTGATGATCATAGCGCTGCATGTTATTTTTATTTTTTTACTAAGGCAGATAGACATCAGTTTTACATTTTAAACAACTGTTATGTAAACTTAAAGAGTATAACACAAGTGCTAATAAAGCTGCACATTTAAGTTTATGTTTTTTCCATAAAGAGTACATGAGATATCTGAGGCCCTTAACCAAATAGTGCTTCTTTTCATTCGTTTGTCACATCATCTTTTTAAATAATTGGGTTTGAACTCTGAAGCAGTGATGGATTTTACAACATTGAGGGGGGGTTGGGTTCTGACTCGTCCCCTTTGTGTCCCCTCTCTGCTCCAGCTGTTGAAGTGAAGCCTTAAAAACCGACACGATGGGATGTGAAGCTGCTTCTGTAGTGCCCCGGTTGTTTCTAAACTGCAGATGATATGAATAACGGAGATAAATTATGATGAAGCAGTTACCCAAAAGGTGTAGGGTACTGTGTGGACACCAGTCCACCAGTAACCTTTATCTTCTGATAAGGCTGAGAAAGGGGATGTCTCCTCCTAGTACGCACCAACAGACAGCTTGAGGACATTTATGGACAAAAAGTCGACACAATTAACTTTTGTATTGATGCACCAGGTAACTAACTGCATGCAGACACATATCCCAGCTCGGCTCAGTTTATGTCAAAATAAAAAGATTGTTTTTTTGTTCAGCAAACATGTTTTTTTTCTGCTTTTGTCTTTTCCTGCAGAAATTTCTCCAGTTCCTGGCATCTAGGAACACCCTGTTTAACCTCAGCAACTTCCTGGACAAAACTGGCTCTCACGGTGCGTGATATTTGTTCCTACCTCTGCAGGCCATTGTTCATAACCTTAAACGAGTCCAGTGTTTCACACTCACATCAAGGCTGGGGGAGGAAATATCTCTGGCTGGTAGAAAGAAATAAAATTAAAAAAGGGAGTTAAAAGCAGCCTGTCTGTCTCCAGTAGCATCTCCTCTAATCTTTGTTCCCTTCAGATGGTCTCGTCTCCATGGAAATGAGCCCGTCACCCACGGTGATAAACACCAGGTTCACAGCCTCCTGTCACTCTTTTCTACTTGAGCACCAGCAGAGTTTAGTGAGCCGATTTCATTTAGACTTTTAATTCTAGCCTTTAATTTTATTCTGTGATCAGACACTCAAGAAGGGAAAACACTGACAAAATGGTTCAACAATAACAAAAATAAAATTACATACATAAAGGTCCAATTATTATTTTATTTAACATTTAGTCAAAAGAGGCTAGTATTTATTGTTACTTCAGTAGTCTGATTTTGGTTGTGGTTTGTTATATATATATATATGTATATATGTGCGCCTCCTTGAATCGCCACCTTATCGTGGTGGAGGAGTTTGTGCGCCTGAATGATCCTAGGAGCTATGCTGTTGGGGGCAATTATAAATGCCCCTGGTAGGGTCTCCCAAAGCAGATTGGTCCTAGGTGACAGGCCAGACAAAGAGCGATTCAGAAGATTTTTATGGACAAAACAAAACAAGGAACTCAGTGTCCCTTGCCTGGGCGTGGGTTACCGGGGGAGGGGCTCGTTGGCGAGCACCTGGTGACCGGGTCTCTACCCATGGGGCCCGGTCGGGCTCAGCCCGAAGGAGCAGCGTGGGTTTGCCTTCCTGTGGACCCACCACCTGCAGGAAGGGCCATAAAAGTTGGGTGCATGATGCTATGGGCAGTGGCCGAAGGCAGGGACCTTGGCGCTCTGACCCTGACTTACCAAAGCTGGCTCTTGGGACATTGAGTCTGAGTGGGACATGTTCCGCGCCTCGCTTGTTGAGGTAGCTGCCTTGAGCTGTGGCTTCAAGGTTGTTGGTGCTTCTCGCGGTGGCCATCCACGAACTCTGTGGTGGACACCCCGGGTTAGGGAGGCTGTCAAGCTGAAGACGGAGTCCTATCGGGCCTTGTTGGCCAGTGGGACTCTGGAGGCAACTGAGGAGTACCGGACGGCCAAGTGTTGTGCAGCCTTGGCTGTTGCTGAGGCAAAAGCTCTGATGTGGGAGGAGTTCTCTGAGACCTTGGATAGAGACTCTGTCGGCTCCAAGGAGATTCTGGCAAACCATCAGGCGGCTGAGGAGGGGAAAGCAGCACTTTACTAACACTGTGTTCAGTGAAGGTGGGGTGCTGTTGACCTCAACCAGTGATGTCATCGGAAGGAGTACTTCTCGGACCTTCTCAATCCCTGGCTTTCAACAATGTATGATTTTTGTTGATCCTGTATGCATCACACTGTGTTAGCCATTATGTTATTATCTGCTATTGTTTTGTTTCTATATTTTGATTTTACATTATGTTTTGTGTTGCTGTGTGCTTTACCTGTTTGTTTCTGTTTGTACAACATTTTGGTTGGCCCTGTCGCTGTTTAAAGTGCTTTATAAATAAAATGGTATGGTATGGTATGGTATCCCACTAGCACGTCTTCCATGGAGGAAGCTGAGTCGGGGAACTTTGGGGTTGATCCGTCCATAATCATGGCTGAGGTTGCCTAGGTAGTTAAAAAGCTCAGAGGCAGAAGGACTCCGGGAGTGGATGAGATTCATCCTGATTTCCTTAAGGCTCTGGATGTTGTGGGGCTGTCTTGGCTGACACACCTTTGCAACGTCGCGTGGACATCTCCTTAGATAGAGAACTTTACTAATTGGCTTTTATGTATGTGAATGTTCCTGTAAAGTGCCCTGAGACAACTTTGTTGTGATTTGGCGCTATATAAATTATATATATGTGTGTGTTAGTTTATTTTCTGTTATTTATTATTTATTTATTTTTGTCCGTGTTTTATTTAGTTAGTTAGTTTTGTTCCTGTGTATGCACCCTGTGCCATTAGTCAGCCTCCTCTGTGTTTTTCCAGCCAGCTGTTTCACCTGTCACAGCTGCAGCCACGTCCCTCATCATCCCCAGCGTTTTTAGTCCTTCTGCTCTCACTCTTCCTCAGCTGAGCATTGTTGCTTCTTGTCTCCTTGGGGGTTTTCTTTAGTTTGCAAGTTCTGCTGCCTCGTCAGCCTTTTTTTGTTTCATTTAATAATAAAGTAAGTTGAGTTTTTAAGCGGCAGCACGGTGGCGCAACTGGTAGAGCTGCTGCCTCTCAGCGAGCAAGTCCCTGGTTCAAACCCCGGTCCAGGGGCCTTTCTGGGTGGAGTTTGCATGTTCTCTCCGTGCATGCGTGGGTTTTCTCCGGGTACTCCGGTTTCCTCCCACAGTCCAAAAACATGCATGTTAGGCTGATTGGTAACTCTAAATTGTCCCTAGGTGTGAGTGAGAGAGTGAATGGTTGTTTGTCTCGTTTGTCTCTATGTGTCCCTGTGATGGACTTGCGACCCGTCCAGGGTGTACCCTGCCCCTCGCACAGTGACTGCTGGACATGGGCACCAGCGACCCCCATGACCCAAAATGGAATAAGCGGGTAAAGAAAATGGATGGATGGATGGATGGAGTTTTTAAGCTGCTTGTCCCAGCCTACATCGTCAGGCCCAAATCTACAGCTGTCTTTAAGCTAAGAAAACCTGTTCTTTTGATAAAAAACTTATTAAAAACTTTAACAAACAAAGAAGTCTCATGTCAAATGCTGTGAACTTAAAAGTATTGTCCTACACTTAACTTAGTGTAGCACATCTTGTCATTGTTAAATCATATATCAAAGCAGGGTTGGTTATTTTCTGTTAGTTGGGGTCCTTTATTAGTAAAAAAAAAAAAATCAGTCTGATAGCATACTGTTCATTGTTTTTTTGTTTTAGCTTTAAACAGCATCATGCTGATCAAGCCCATGTATTCACACCATCAACCTAACATGGCCTGAGTTCACATGTTTCCTATGAATAAGAGAGTTTTGTGTTTTACTTATCTAGAAGCAGATATTTATGGTGTGATCCTTTGGTACTGGGAAATGGAAAAAATAAGCTGGAACTTTACAAAAAGTTGGTATTTCTGACTGGTCCCCAAACTCAAAATCCAATAATGCTACCTTGCTCATAAAGACTGGTTTTAGCTCCAGTAATAAATATTTATTTTTACTTTTGTCCATTTGTTTTAGCCTATTTCAGTTCCACACACACAGGGCTGTGTGAAGCCCTTTGTGAATAACAAGCAGCCATCAGGGCACTAATGATCAGTCGTTAGCTTGATGGTCCTCCTTCATCATGTGAACAGCTAGTTCTGGATATCAACAACAAACTGATTGATCCACTATGAGAAGGTGCTATTTATGAGACTGAGTTTGTTGCAACTCCTCAGACTGAAGAAGTCTTTTGGATAAAAGACAAAACATTTCAACAAGAAGAGTCTGTCCAGAGGACCTGACTTTACTTTGTTAGATTTTTCTATCTGGATTATTGATCATGCATCAGGATATAAAATGAAGTTACTTTGTAGCATTTTTAAACTGTACTCTAAACTAAGTTCACACTTGGGCTTTAATGCTCAAATCTGATTTTTTTTCTTTCTGAGATCCAATTATTTTTTGCAGTCTTTCCATTTTATTTGTCCCCCGTCGTGGAGAGAAGACAGGACTTGGACATATCCTCTGCCCGTCTGCCTGCATCGTGAGCAGGATAACTTGAAAAATAAATAACGTGCTGACTTCCATTTTAGTGTGTGGTTATATCTAGGCGTAAAAAGGTTGCTCTCAAAAATTGGGTGCAATCAGAGCCAATAAAGTTATTATGTATCAAGCTTGACTTGTTTGGTGTTTACATTTGATCTTGCCACTTCCTGTTTACTTCAGTGCAGAATTACACTTTGAACAGGAATGATGTACAGCAGTCCCTCGGTTATTGTGAGGGATCTGTACCCTGAAGCCCTGTGATAAGTGAAAAACCGCGAAGCAGGAATAGTCATGATTTCCCTCTTTCTGCTTCCTCTGCCACGGCTGCTCTTGGCAGCTATTGTCCCCAGCTACCTGTGTTGTAAAAAGAGCACGGCTGCTCTTTTTACACCCACTTCTCTGTGGCAGAGCGGTGATCCGGACACATGCAGGAGTAAGTTTCTCCTTCAGTGTGGGTTGTACAAAGGTGCAGCAGGGGCAAAATAATTTAAAATAATTAATTTTAAATAAAAATTCCATGCTGATCATGTGGCTCATCCATCAATCAGCCAATTGTTTGTCATGTCCAGTCTTATTTTGAAAAACTGCAATAAAGTGAGACCGTGATAAATGAAGTGTGAAGTAGCGAGGGACTACTGTACTGAAAGTAGGAGAGAAACAAACTAAAGAATCAATCCCAATGTGATATATGATACCAACGCTAGTATTGATACTATATGATACCATTGGTGGATGGGCGTGGTTTTGGATCATGTGGTTTCCGTAGTGATTGCAAGATCACCTGTTTGCTCACCTGGTGAGTTTGTTAGTGAGCAGGTGATGGGGGAACTCTACCATTTTTCTGACTCTTTAAGCTTTGAGTTTTTCTTTGATCACTGCTGGAACCTGTGGATCTGTTTTTTATGCAGCTCTGGGACACGAGTGTCTATGATTCACTGATGTTTTGCCTGGGAATGTGAAGAACTTGACACCAATAAAGGAATCTTAACTGCAGCTTGGATTTATGTTTTAAACAGCGGGCGCGTCAACAATAACTTCCCCTACCCAGCTGCTTGGTGACTCAGTTTGTTTGACAGTCGCCAATACTTGTCAGCAATAGACTTCCCCCCCATCACCCACTCACTAACAAAACTCACCAGGTGAGCAAACAGGTGATCTTACAATCACTGCCGACACTACGTGTTCCAAAACCACGCCCATCCACCACAATGCCGATGCTAGTATTGATACTATATGATACCAATTTAACCTGTCTAAATAAAGGTTGAATGAATGCTTATATTGATACTATATGCAACCAATGCTAGTATTGATACTATATGATACCAATGCTAGCATTGATATTATATGATACCAATGCTAGTATTAATACTATATGCTACCAATGCTAATATTGATACTATATGCACCCAATGCTAGTATTAATACTATATACCAATGCTATTATTGATACTATATGATACCAATGCTAGTATTGATACTATATTCAATTCAATTCAATTCAAAAATACTTTATTAATCCCAAAGGGAAATTATTTGTTGTTGTAACTCGTTATTCTCGTTTCATTAAGAGATGTTATAGATACTGATATGCTACCAATGCTAATATTGATACTACTTATATGCTACCAAAGCTAGTATTGATACTATATGATACTAATGCTAGTATTGATAATATCAATATGTGGACTGATTGACATGCCCTAACTTAACTAATTTAAGGACATAAAAGTCATATTAAATGTGACATGACCTTTCAAATGGAGGTTGATTTGAAAAACATGGTATATGTGTTATTAGATTTAGGACCCACATACTGGCCTTGGGCCTGATTTGAACAGAAAATGGTTTAATAATGTTCAGACTGTCTTAAAAACTTAGATACAGGCCACATATGGCCAAAAAGGGGGAAAAAAGTCAAATTTGGGCCACCTTTGCCTGCAGTGTGAACTACTGTAAGTCTGTTCTCAGTATGTGTAAAGGAGAATGTTTTAAACAAATAAAAAACGTTTGTTTCCTCTTCAGGCTACGACTCGTCCACGTTTATCAGACGCTACAGCCGCTATCTCAACGAGAAGGCCTTCGCCTACAGACAGATGTCTTTTGACTTTAATCGAGTCAAGAAAGGGTAAAGTTTCTCTAATTACTCATCGCTCATTGCTGCATGAACATTTCAGTATCATTTCATTTATTTATGACATCACAGTTGAACTAGAGCAGTAAAGACCTACTTTCTAAACTTGTTTGCCTCCATATTGATTGGAACAGCACACATCCCACAGGGGTTGTGTCATGTTTGTTCTCAGATTAAATGTCGTGTCCATGCCAGTGCAATGGATTAATGATGAGGGACAACATACAGAAGTAGTTACTGTTCATGCCTGCAGAAAGAAGGACACAGACACGAAGCTCCTCAGACTACATAAAAAACAACCAGAGTAGAAATGAGACTCAGTGTGTGACCAGCATGGAGAGAAAAAAGCCTTCATTAGCTCGTTCATAGGCCGTGATGTTCCCTCTGTAGTGAACTTAATCTGGTGTCACGACTAAGCCTAAGGTCCAAATCCTTGACCTTAAGAACCTTATGGGACAGAAACTGTCATTTTATTGATTTGAATCCAGAAATGCAGGTTCACCCATCCTGAGACTTTCTTTCTTGAAGATTCAAGTGAAAGAACACTCTCTTTTTTATTATCATTACTATTTTACAAATGTTGATAATCAAAGTGTCTTAGTTCAAACCATTTTAGATGTTGCAGTGAACTAATCAATTTTATTAACTGTGTAATGATTTTTTTCTCATGCAAAGTTAGAATTCATGTTGAGGTCTGTTACAGATTTTTATGCATTTTCTGATTTCTGCCTTTGAATGAGCAAGTGTAAGTTGGTCCAAGGTTGGAGTCAAACGCAAAACAAGTTGTTGGAACGAACTGTCATGTTTTTAGAATCCTCTCAGACGTAAATATAGAGGTTTTGGCACCTGTTTCTGAAACACGCCAAAACAAAACTCTCTCCGTCTGTGAGAACATTTCTGATCTGTCCCATAACAATTCTTGCTGTCTTCTAACCTTTTACATCACAAAACACACCCCGTCTGGTCGGTTCTGTCCAATGGGAATACTCCCAGATGAACCGAAAAACAGCTCTTTAAAATGTCGGTACTTCCTGGTCTACTCAGTTCTGGGACAGTTCTGTTCAGTTCTGATGGAGATCTGTAAACTACTCATGTTCTGCTGGAGTTCTGTGAGGGTTCCACTCGGTTCGGTTGAGTTCAGTTCTGTCCAGTTCTGTGCGGAGAAGCCCAGTTCTGGGAGACGGGAAGATCCTGACATGACAACAGAGCTCTTCTGAGTCATGGGAATATAACACTTTCCACTCGCCACTACTTCTGACGAGCTACAGCCATCCTAAGGAGACGCTGGACAGGTAGCGTTAACGGAACTCCATATCTGCTGATTAATCTCAGAAAGGTAATGAGTCAAGTTTCCTACCAAGCGTACCGAGGTGAGCTGGGTTCTGATGGAGAGTGTCGGTTCTGGTGAACACTTCCCCTCCCATACCATCTTTACTCCCTTTAACTTCTTTCCCATCTTTAAACTTTTCTCTCAAGTAGAAATTCTTCCAGATATTTTAGAAATGTCTGTGTAAAGTGCTCATCCACATCCGTGTGGGTAAAAGATCATAATTGTACAGTTTTCATAAATGTCTGTGGTGAAGCAACGGAAAAATCATGGCCGTATGATTTTTCCTGATTGATTGCTTATGTTGTTATTTTCATAATTTGCCAAATTAATGTAAATGTTTGATGTTAAACTTTGATTCTGTAAATAAATGACCGCATTCATTTTGATGGGTCAAATATAAATGACGTCTCACGTTTGCATTTCATTAAATTCAATGCACGTTTTATTCAGTTCAGAAAAATGAGGAATCCGCGTTAATTGATGAATATATATGAGCATCTGTTCATCTACACCTCTTCCAGCACTCTAAATGCTTCAGAAGCTTGCTGTTTTCCTCATTTGTGTCATCTTTCTGTCTGACTCCATCTCAGAGCCGAAGGAGCCATGAGGACCATGACAGTGGAGAAGCTGTTGAAAGGAATGCCAATCCTGCAGAGTCAGATCGATGCGCTGCTGGATTTTGATGTGAGTGACGCTCGCTTTTAGGCAACAACGTCACGTTGCATGTTCCTGAATGTGCTGAGGAGAATATGCAGGCAAGAGAAAGGCACACTGGGTTTACAGGACGTGATAACTGAGTCAGGGTACATATATATTCACCTTGACTGTGACAAATGTTCAGTCTAGTTCTTGCTATCAAGTAAATCGAAGTTAACTTCAGCAAGCTAATATAAAATGTGAGTATGACCCTAAAGTTTTATGAGGATTTTGTTTTTGACCTTATGTCCGTAATACCCCACTCCCACAGAACGAAGACTTTTAGTCAGCTAATTGTCCAAATCTCTCAACAATGATCTCCAAGGTCATTATCATCTTCTGATGATATTTCAAAGCTCTTTCAGTGAATGCTAGGGCCTCTGTGGTCTGCATCAAACTTCGAACTGGTTGAAAACCATCCCTAAGCTGTCCGTGATGGAAGTGGTCTTTTAATGAATAGTCGTTGATCTATCAACGAACACTCAAGGGTCTCGCCAGTCTTTTAACGATCTCCCAACAAATTCAAAAGTTTTTGGTGAATTGTCAATCCCTAATAGTGGAGATCACATGGTACGGATACTGGATACCTGTCACCTGGCGCCAGGTACTGGAGGGTCACAATCAACTTCCTCTCTAGCTGCTGTCAGCTTTAGTGGCTGTAGGACCAACTCTTTGCAGGAGCTTGTCGGGCGTGGCCGGCAGGTTTTCAGTGAAAATAACCACAGTTTTCTATGGTAAAAATGATCAAATGGTGAGAATGACAATGATGTTTTTAAAATAAAGTTTGCATGAGCTGCTGTGACATTTATTAGACTGAACTTGTTTTCAGGCAGCAGAAAACTGCTTTAGATTTTACCTGTGGCTAATATCACAAACTAATGATGTTTTTAGTGAATTCTACTTGAAGTATATATTTTTTAAAATTGTCCTCAGGTGCATCCTCCAGACCTGAACAACGGAGTGATAAACGCCTGCTTTCTCATGCTCTTCAAAGATCTTATCAAGTTGTATGCCTGCTACAATGACGGCATCATCAACCTGCTAGGTAAAGAATTGAATGAATATAACAAATACTAGATTTTACATTACTTCTCAAAGGTTTTGACACATTTACACAATTTAAACTTTCATACGTAAATGTTTTTATATGATGTACACACTCAAACACGGAGTTTTTTCCTACATGTAAATTCAGGATGAACACGATGGTCTATAACTTTGTTGATTAAAGAACTATTTTATTATTATTATACTATATTTGTTAACTACTGTAATTTCCGGACTATTGGGCGTACATGAATATAAGCCACGTCCACTAAATTTAAAAATAAACCATAATTGTACATATAAAGGTCACATTTGTGTATAAGCCGTGGGTGTCCACGTTGTAACATGAGATATTTACACAGAAAGTTGAAAGTGGGAAAAAAGTAGCGGTGTATAGTCCAGAAATGATGGTAATCATGTTCCAACATTTTTTTTTCAGAGAAATTTTTCCAGATGAAGAGAAGCCAGTGTAAAGACGGGCTTGAGATCTACAAGAGATTCCTGACGAGAATGACTCGAGTTTCTGAATTCTTTAAAATCGCAGAGGTGACTCGCAGCTCACTCAGTCAGTCATGTCTAAAATCCTCACATGCTTTAATTATTAACCTCTTTTTGTTCCACAGCAAGTGGGAATAGACAAAAATGACATTCCTGAGCTCACTCAGGTAAGCCTGATTGAAGCTTTTAATGTCAATGTTGTTCATGTTTTTATCATTATTATTTATGTCTTTCATTTGTTACATTCTAACGGAGCATGCTGGTGGTTTTTCTAACTTCTGTTTTGCATGAAGTATGAATGTCTTTTCCCCCTCCTGCTGTGTTGATGTGTCTCCTGGACAGTCAGACACACCTGCAGCCACCCACTCACCTGTGGGTCCTTGGTGATTGACGACACCTTTGCCCCACCCTTCTCCTTGTTTTTTTTATCTCCAGAGGTGCAGAATGATCATTCAGGCTGAGAATGTGAGTAGTGAGTGGTGCACAGAGCTCGCTTGTGGGAGCAGACAGTTTAGGGAAGGTTTGCTGCTCTGATTGATGCGCACTGCGCAGAGCGTGCACAGCCAGCAGATCCAGAGCAGAGGAGCAGGATGACTGGATGAATGTGACATGCTGAACCGTGCTCTTAACCTGACAGCTGCTACAACCAGTAAATGGAGTTTCATTTCATCAAATGCGTCTTTTAGTTTGTGCTGTGGAGTTTCCATGACAACCTGCCAGGAGAATAAACCGGATTTTAAATGTTGCTTTTGAATCACTTGCTGACATTTTTAAAGTCCAGCCTGCTGTGGAAACTCAACAGTTTAGGTTTTTATTTATTTATTTTTAACTTGGCAGCATGGATGGATTGCACCAAAGGCATGCTGGGTAAATGCAAGCTTTTCATTTCAGTGAAGAGTTAGTGGCATAAATCAAATGGGCATTCTTACTGAAGTCAAAACTCTTATAGGCTGTGTTCACACTCAAGGCCGGATTAACCATATGGGCAACTGGGCAACTGCCCAGGGGCCCATGATCTCTAAGGGGCCCAGGGCAGTGAGGGCACAAGCAAAATATCTGGTCATCTCCTGCTTTACTTGGAGCTCTGCGCTTCATTTGTGCAGCCCCGCCTCCTCCCAGTGCGGCTGCTGCAGCGCTCGTTTTTTTTTTTTTCAATCGGATCCTTGACGGTGCGACCTGTCAATCAACTCAGAAGGCGTGTCAGTAACTGACCAATCGACAACCTCAATTTGTCCCGAAGGTAAACGCCCCCTGCTGACAAACTCATCAGTTTTTTTTCTTCTTGAGAAACATTGTTTTTATTAAAACAATAAGTCTGTATCTGTTGTGAGATGATTTTAGCAGTTTAGCAGATTTTTAATCTACTTAATGAAGAATAGTACGACTTAAAACCGTTCATCAAACAGGAAGGAAGGCTTATTATCTCTCCTCTTACTACAGTGAATGTGGTACTTTGCTATAGGTATGTATGGCATCAGAGAAAGCTGAGCTCAAGTTATGCACATAAGTAAAATGATATCAGCATGAAAAGAAGAAATGTTAAGTTTGAGATTAATCCAGTTTCTGATGTCTGACCAAACACTTTGTATTGACATAAAAAAATAAAAAAAACTTGCTCCAGGGATTCATCTTCTGATTTACAAAGACACACAATTCAACATCAAATTTAAATATTCTTTACAGAAACATGGCTGCAGGATATATCTTATTTATTATTTTTAAATGATTCTGCTTCACTTTAAGAGATTTAGACCATTTGACAAATTTAGAATGAGCAGAAATCATTCTGGTTTTATGATTTATACTGGGAGGTTTCTTGAAGAAATCTTTGTTATAATCAGTAAATCCTTTGTCGCAAACATTCATTGATAATCTTGTTGCATTTGAAGTCAAGTAAATTACAGATATTTAATTTTAATTTGGGCATCAAATCGTCACCTTTGAATATATAATATTTTTAATTGATTAAAACAGTTGTTGGTCAGGTTACTTCTTGTTGTGCCATTAGCTCTAAAATAGTTACTGAATCAAGTGTTTCCTTCCATCCATCCATGGGGGTAGCAGCCTAAGTAGGGAGGCCCAGACTTCCCTCTCCCCAGCCACTTGGACCAGCTCCTCCAGGGGAATCCCAAGGCGTTCCAAGTGTTTACTTGTGTAGGTAAAACTAGATATTAAACAACCATTAAAATATACCAGAATGCAGGAAACGGCATCTACTTTATTCAAAATTTTCTGGGGGAGAACCCCCAGACCCCCCCATCAGTGTGTGTCCCCCACACATACATTATAAATGCTTCTGACACCAGTGGCCAAACACGTTACTAAACAAGTACACATATGGTGTCATGTGGTGTTCAAAGTGCGTTCAACTTAATTCAGTCTTGATGATTTGTGTCAATGAGCATTTGGAGTTTAGTAAATAAAAATACACTTGATAGTTAGATTTTTAAGTATATTTACTGTATATTATGGTAATTTATTCTGTATTTTGCCAGATTATGGTGATTCTGGGGTAGTGATGATGGGGCCCTTGAAGATTGTTGCCCAGGGTACAGCGAAATGTTAATCTGTCCCTGTTCACACTGCAGGGAAAAGTGGCCCACATCTGTTCTGTTTTTTATGTTGTTGCCCATATCAGATTTTTATGACAGTCTGAATGTGAATAAACTTATTTCAGGTCTTTTGTGTGGCACTAAATCAGATTTTGAAAGTGATTGCAGTCTGAATGGTCATGTTGCGTTTTATTTGACGTTAGTGAGATAGGGGGATATGGATTGATCCAGATATTGATAAGATTGGTACCAACATCATGCAGTTTAAATCTGGAAACTTTGCACATATTCATCTACAGAACAGAAGTGCAGTTGCTTTTTAAAAATTTTATTTGTCGTGTCCTGGATGCCTGAAAGTCTACAGCAACATATGATACCAACGCTGGTGTTGGATCAGATCGATTCTCGATACCTGGATGATTGAGCATGAACTTTGTTGATTCTTGATTATGTTTCACTTTCAGTATGTTGCTCCTCTTCCGGAAGTGTATTCTGCATCAGAGTAGCCGGGAAACAAGACCAAATATAAATATTGGATGAAACAATCATCACAGATAATAATTTTGTCGGTTCTGATTGCACAAGAACTTCAGAATCAATATACACGTGCTAACATGTGCTAACATTCATATTCAGTACAAACAGCGTGCTACGTGTGACGTCACGTCTTCTACGGGTCGCGTCAGGACTGTAGGCAGTTTACAATGGAGTCTAATGGTGGTCACATAAATGATGACATGATTGACCATGCATAAAAGAAATTTAATCTGAGCAAAAAAAATCGGAGTTAGGCATTAAGATCTGCAGTGTGAACATAAAAGACAAGGTGGTTTGAGCAAAGAGCTTAAACAATGTTATAAAACCAAGCAAAAAGGCATGTGTGGCAACAAAACTTACTAAAACCTGGGAGCAGCACAGGGAAACATGGATGTGGTGTAAATCCAGCAAAGCTTAACTTGTGGATGAGGAGAGCTGAGCAATAAGAAGGACTGGGCTGATGGGAGAAATGGCTGCAGCTGTGACAGGTGAGACTGGGAGCAGGTGTAGATGCTGACTGAGGAGAAGGGACTGATGCCACGAAGATTAAACAAATGAAAACACAAAGAGCAGAACTAAACACAAGCATTTACCACAGAAAACAGAGCACAACTAAAAGACAACAAACCCAACAACAAAACACAAAAGACTACCAACAAAACAACCAAAACACAGATATAGACAAAAAAAACCCAACTTAAATTATAATAAAAAATATTTAAAGATGGAGGCTAAACAGAATCAGTATCAAGGGTGTGAATACTTCTGTCACCCACAGTATTTATAATTCCTTCATAGTATGATAAAATAAAATGTAATGAGTAGAATCAGTAAATATTGTCATCAGACAGTGTGATGCAGTCATCAATTTACAGTTACTAAACTGTAGATTAGCAGTTTATTGTCCTCCGTCGCAAAACGAGGAGGAGGATTTCAAAATGTTGACCGTCTGTCCATGTTGTCAGCATAATAACTTGAAAAATAAGTAAAGTACTGACCAGGCCTGAAGTGGTTAATCTGGAGGACCGGGACATTTCCCAGTGGGCTGGTCTGATGTATGGGCCGCAGGGCTGGTGCTCAGTCATGGCCATGCTTTTATCACCACTATTGCTGCAGCAGGGCCGCCCCAACTCCACCCAGAGCCGGCTCCGCCTCAACCCAGGGCCGGCTCCGCCTCCACCCAGGGCCGGCTCCGCCTCCACCCAGGGCCGGCTCCGCCTCCACCCAGGGCCGGCTTTGCCTCCACCTAGGGCCAGCTCCACCACCACTGGTAGCTCTCGGTTTTTTCAGCTCTCGTTTTTTTTTTTTTCTTCTTTTGCAGACGCACCCTGACATAAGACGTCAGTGCGTTCGGTCAGTGGTGTTTGAAAGATGGAAAGTGGAAAGAGCAAGGTTGGTGTGGAGAAGACTAGAATTAAAAAGAGAAAAACTCTAGAAACAGACACAGCTAGTAAGGTTATAATTACATGATTTTAATAATAATAGGTCATGATCTAGATCTGCCTTTAGGTCTGAAAACTCACAGGAGCTGAGAAAGACAAGGAAAGAGCTGGTTGCTGGTATTAAGAGGGCCAAGGCCACATATGCAAAGAGGATCCAGGGTCAATTCACCTCACAAGACCCACAGAGTATGTGAAGGGGTATTAAGTGTATAACAGATAATAAAGGCAGAGGTGCACAATGCCCTAGAGACCCAGGGCCAAGTTCTACGCACATTTTGAAGACTCGAACAGACCACCCAGCACCAAACTCACCTCACCACCAGAAAAAGAGCTTCTCAGCGTGACCAGCCAAAGTGAGAAGTACTTTCAGGAGGATTAATCCTCACAAAGCAACTGGCCCAGACAACATCCTTGGAAAGGTGCTGAAAGACCGTGCCGATCAGCTCTGTGAGGTGCTAGCCGACATCTTTAACACCTCACTTACCCTGGCAACAGTTCCCACCTGCCTGAAGACCACCACCATCATCCCAGTCCCAAAGAGCCCTACAGTGACTGGTCTGAATGACTACCGGTCAGTAGCCCTCACCTCGGTAGTCACTAAATGCTTTGAAAAACTGGTCATGACTCACATCAAAACAACCATCAACATCAACGAGGACCCTCATCAGGATGCATACCATGAGAACCGATCAACAGAGGATGCCATCTCCTCTGTGGTCCACACTGCTCTCACCCACCTGGAGCAGAAGGACTCTTATGTCCGTATGTTCTTTGTGGACTTCACGTCTGCCTTAAATACCATGATCCCAATACCCTGATGGACAAACTATTTCACTAGGACTAAGCCCCTCCATTTGCAACTGGGTCCTAGACTTCTTAACAAACAGACCGCAGTCAGTGAGGATCCACAACTTTTCCTCCTCCACCATAACCCGCAGCACTGGCTCGCCTCAGGGATGTATGTTGAGCCCCCTCCTGTTTACTCTGCTCACGTATGATTGTGCAGCTGCCCATCCAGGCTGTCACATTGTAAAGTTTGCAGATGATACAGCGGTGGTGGGATACATCACAAACAAAGATGAGTCCAGCTACAGGCAAGAGGTGGAACACCTGGAGAGCTGGTGCAAAGAGAATAACCTTCACATCAATGTGAAGAAGACAAAGGAGATGATTGTGGACTTCAGAAGGAACCCCCCACCCCCACCCCCCCAAACATAGGAGGATCTGCAGTGGAAGTGGTCTCCAGCTACAAGTACTTGGGTGTACACATGAATGACAACCTCAGCTGGAGCAACAACACCACCAGCCTGATCAAGAAAGCTCATCAGAGACTCTATTTCCTCTGGCGACTGAGACGAGCTGGTCTGGGAAGCTCAGTCCTCACCTCCTTCTACAGGTGTGCAGTGGAGAGCATCCTGTGCTCCAGCATCAACGTGTGGCATGGAGGCTGCACAGCTGCAGAAAGAAAAGCTTTGCAGAGAGTGGTGAAGGCTGCACAGAAGTCTGTTGGAATCAGTCTCCCCACCATCACAGACATCTACACCTCCAGATGCAGGAAGAGAGCCACCTGCATCATGAAGGACACCACTCACCCAGCACACACACTTTTTGCTCCGCTTCCCTCAGGAAGGAGGTTAAGGAGCATTAAGTGTAGAACCACTAGACTGAGGAACAGCTTCTACCCTGAGGCTGTTAGACTCATGAATCTCTAACCAGGATAATCACTGTGAAAAATCACATCATGTTGCTGCTGATCTGTTTCATGTTGCTGTGTTCATGCGTGCTCATCTGCTCAAATAGACTCATGTTCGTGCTGCTGTTCGACGTAATGTTTTTATGAAAGTAGTGCTTTGCATATTTTTAGTTGATGTTTTTCTTACTTTATCATAGATCTTACTGCTGTTTTTCTTTTACATTTTATTCTTGGGGGCAGCACGGTGGCGCAACTGGTAGAGCTGCTGCCTCTCAGCGAGCAGGTCCTTGGTTCAAACCCCGGTCCAGGGGCCTTTCTGGATGGAGTTTGCATGTTCTCTCCGTGCATGCGTCGGTTTTCTCCGGGTGCTCCGGTTTTCTCCCACAGACCAAAAACATGCATGTTAGACTGATTGGTGACTCTAAATTGTCCCTAGGTGTGAATGAGAGAGTGAAAGGTTGTTTGTCTCGTTTGTCTCTATGTGACCTTGTGATGGACTTTCGACCCGTCCAGGGTGTACCCCGCCCCTCGCACAGTGATTGCTGGACATGGGCACCAGCGACCCCCGTGACCCAAAATGGAATAAGCGGGTAAAAGATAATGGATGGATGGATATATATACTGTATGTATGTATTAGTGTATGTATGCATGTACGTGTGTGTAAACTGACACCCTTGTCATTTGAGGAAACTATACTGTCTAATTTTATATTGATTAAAAGTATAGTTTCCTCAGATAATTGGGGTAGTCCTTGGGGTGGCCAAAGATTCATCTATTGTGGTCAAGGCCACCACTGGCTTTGTCATTGCACCAGCTTGTTGATAAAATTGCTCTGTTCACTCGCCAGGAAAAAACCAAACAGATAAAAACCCACCTCTGTTTTTCTACACAGCTCATTCCCTGTTCAATTCTAGTCCAGAAAACACTCCTCTCCAAAACTACAAACATTCACTGTTCAGACCGCTCAGTGACGGGGGACATTGGTGTACTGCTTGCATTTACAGGAAAACCTTTTAATATGTCTTTTATCAGAACAAACACTTTCAGTTTTTCACTAAAACGACTGAAATATTCCTCCTAATAACACCCAGAGTCATAATTTTCAGTAACTTAAGATTTTTTTAAAAAACATCAGATAATTAAATGATAGTTTGTCATTTGAGAAGATCCTGTGTGCAGTTTTATCGCTGGTGGAGCAGAGCTGATGGTTCTGATGATGAGTCTGTTCATATTTAGCAGTGAGGACAGGGCACTCCATTTCTCACAGGGATGAAACAAACATTATCACCCTGTTGTGTTGAGTGAAAGTTAAAGATAACAGCATGGTGAATAAACAGCTGAATGTGGAGAAGCTCATTTAAAATCGTTATTAGGAAGCCTGGATGTTGAGCAGCTCGTTCTGCTGCATGTTTGGAGGTGAGTGCATCTCGTGTCGCCTGCGTTCAGCTTTGCATCCCAGCTTGCTGGAAGTTGGACTTTAGTTTTCTTACTCTGATTAAAAGTTTATTTTTGTTTCTTCTGTACCCCGCCTTGTCCTCATACTGATGGTTTCTGTCTTTTGGTGCACCTTCAGATTTATTTTAGTGATGTTTTGGACTATTAGAGCATCAAAACCTTGATGAAACGTGATAGGCTGTGGTTTGAAGAAAAAAACTTTATTTGAGATAAAATGAATGGGTAACACACACAAGTATCAAATACAGTTGATTTTTGATATGTTGTAATTTTTTTATATTTAAAGCCACACTTTAAAAAGGATTTCAACTCAGTATGTATGACTCCAGGTTGTGGTCTGTCTGTATTCCTCTGCAGGCCCCAGAAAGTCTTCTGGAGTCTTTGGAGACGCATCTCAACACTCTGGAGGGGAAGAAGCTGTAAGTCATTAAAGTTATCCTCGTCCTGTTTTCTTTCTTTTTTTAATCCCCCATCGTGGAGCGAAAAGGGAAAATTGTAAATACTGTCCATCCATCTGTATGTCCATTCATGCATGTTGTGCACGTGATAACATGAAAAATAAGTGAAGTACTAAATTCCATTTTGGTGTGTGGCTGCATTTTGGCATAAGAAAGGTTCTTTTCAAAAATTGGGTTGTCACGTCAAAATCCAAGATGGCCACCACCTTATGTATGTAAACCAGCCACCCTTATATTTTGAGAAAACTATGCTCTCTAGTTTTTATATTACTTTAAAGTATATTATTAAAGTAAAAGGTGGCCTATGGGGTGGTCAAAGATAAATCTATGGTGGGCAAGGCCACCATTGTCCACCCCCTGATTCAAGGGTTCAAATCCTTTAGCGACAGAGGGCATCGGCATACCGCTCGTTTTTATTTTTATTTTTTACAATGTCAGTTCTTTGTCTGGTCTCAAGTTTTTCTAATCTTCTTGTCTAACGTGACTTTCTTCTGATCTTTACCCAACTCAGAGAAGACAAGTAAGTGTTCATGTGTCGGTGCCAAAAAGGCTTTACAAAGTCCTTTTACTGCCACGACACTTATAAATTGTTTTGTTCTACATCCCAGTTTCATAATATTCCACCATCAGAGCAACTCGTGTTGTTTGTATAGGAAAACGTTGCTTAAAGGTAGATTTTGGTCAATTTGAAGTAGGGTTTTGTGTAAAAACTGAACAATTAAAATCTTTCTCGTTGTAGATCGTTCTTTAAACAACCTCAGTTTAGAAAAAAGGGTTTAATTAGGACTAACGTGGATTGATGCTGACCTCAAATAGCCTCAGTCTGCAACATTTTATACTAATACATGTGAAGGCTTTTCCATAAAGCTTTACATTGAGCTCAGTTTTGTTATAATTGATTGTACACAGAGGGCAGCACGGTGGCACAGTTGGTAGAGCTGTCCCCACTCAGAGAGAAGGTCACCCATATCAAATTCTGGCCCACAACCTTTCTGGGTGGAGTTCGCATGTTCTCTCCGTGCATGCGTGGGTTTTCTCCAGGTACTCCAGTTTCCTCCCACAGACCAAAAACATGCATGTTAGACTGATTGGTAACTCTAAATTTTGAATGTCACTGGCTCAACTCCCCGGACCGACAACATAAAAAGTGTGGGTGGGAAAGGTGAAGCACTCACACCTCCCTCCACCCTCATTTGCCCCACTCTGGGCCCTTGAGCAAGGCACTTAACCTCCACCATCTGCTCCCCCCAGGCACCCTAGACAGCAGCTCTCTGCTCCACACAGAGGGCTGTGGTAGCTCGGTGTCTGAGGTTGCATCAGAAAGAGTCAGAGATTCTTTATTGTCCTTCACACCTCATGTGGTACATGTGGTGGAGCGAAATTATGAACACAGGGTCCCAGTTACATCCATCCATCCATTATCTTTACCCGTTTATTCCATTTTTTTGGGTCACGGGGGTCGCTGGTGCCCATGTCCAGCAATCACTGTGCGAGGGGCGGGGTACACCCTGGACGGGTCGCAAGTCCATCACAGGGACACATAGAGACAAACGAGACAAACAACCATTCACTCTCTCACTCACACCTAGGGACAATTTAGAGTTACCAATCAGCCTAACATGCATGTTTTTGGTTTGTGGGAGGAAACCGGAGTACCCGGAGGAAACCCACGCATGCACGGAGAGAACATGCAAACTCCACCCAGAAGGCCCCTGGACCGGGGTTTGAACCAGGGACCTGTTCGCTGAGAGGCAGCAGCTCTACCAGTTGCGCCACCATGCTGCGTCCCAGTTACATCCAACAATAAAATGTAAATGAAAAACAGTAATAACATCTAAGATATGAACTAAGAAAAACATCAACTAAATATACACTAAGCACTAACAGCATAAAAACAATACATCTAACAGCAGCACGAACATGAGCATGAGTCTGTGTGAGCAGATGAGTACGCATGAACAAACACATCAACATGGAACAGATCAGCAGCAGCATGAAACAGATCAGCAGCAGCATGAAACAGATCAGCAGCAGCATGAAACAGATCAGCAACAATATGAAACAGATCAGCAGCAATATGAAACAGATCAGCAGCAGCATGAAACAGATCAGCAGCAATATGATGTGATTTTTTTCACAGTGATTATTCTGGTTAGAGATTCATGAGTCTTACAGCCTAAGGGTAGAAGCTGTTCCTCAGTCTACTGGTTCTACACTTAATACTCCTCAACCTCCTTCCTGAGGGGAGTGGGGCAAAACATGTGTGTGCTGGGTGAGTGGTGTCCTTCATGATGCAGGTGGCCCTCTTCCTGCATCTGGAGGTGTAGATGTCTGTGATGGTGGGGAGACTGACTCCAACATCTTCTGTGCAGCCTTCACCACTCTCTGCAAAGCTTTTCTTTCTGCAGCTGTGCAGCCTCCATGCCACACGTTGATGCTGGAGCACAGGTTGCTCTCCACTGCACACCTGTAGAAGGAGGTGAGGACTGAGCTTCCCAGACAAGCTCGTCTCAGCCGCCTGAGGAAGTAGAGTCTCTGATGAGCTTTCTTGATCAGGCTGGTGGTGTTGCTCCAGCTGAGGTTGTCATTCATGTGTACACCTAAGTTCTTGTAGCTAGAGACCACTTCCACTGCAGATCCTCTTATGTTTAGGGGGGTGTAGGTGTGTTTGTTCCTTCTGAAGTCCACAATCATCTCCTTTGTCTTCTTCAGACTGATGTGAATGTTAAAAGGGCATCCAGTGTAAAACAATTGCCAAATCTTCATTTGAGTTAGTTCACTGTGGCGACCCCTGAAGAAGGGAGCAGCCAAAAGAAGAAGAAAAAAATGGATGGATGGATTATCCACAGATAATTAAATGTTTTTCTGCTAGTCTAAACTGCAGCAGCAGCTAGTTATAGCACTGTTGGTGCAGCCTGAGGTTGATTTGAGCAGGAATTTTCCATTAATTATTACATTTCTATTATTATTATTCATAATATATCTACTTAAATTAATTGTTCAATGTGGAACTGAAGGTAGTGGGAAATGTTTAAATATTGGCCTTTGCTTGTGAATTCTTAAAGATTGTGGTTCTTTGGCACGTCTGAGTAAACTCACCTCCAAACATATTTTGTCGGCTTTAAACAGATCCAGTTTCAAAAAGTGTTATTGTAGTTTGTGCACTCACCATTCTGTATCCCTTCACATCAGTAATAGTTTCATATGTTGTAGTTAATTTGGAATAAATATAAAAAAATATATATACAGCTTCACAAGCCACTGGCTGCTCTGGAAGTGCTACATCTAGCTGCAGCTGCAGCTAAGTGCACTTGCAAATAAACATAAAAACCTATATAAAGATGTAATCAGATTTAAACTCACAGTCACAGAATGAAAAGAGGGAATTGGAAATACCCTCCGTCTGTGAATGTTGTGAACGAGATAACTTGAACATATAAGCGAGTTCCTTATTATTGAATGTAGGCGTAAAAAAGGTTAAATTAACATTGTTTTACGTTCACTCCTTGTTTAATTCCAGTCCAGAAAAACACTCATCTCAAAATCTACAAACATTCACTATTTAAATCCCTCATCGATGGGGGACATTGGCGTACCAGTTGTTCAAACTGAGATTGCTAATAATCTATCTGCAACAGGTAAGATGTTCTTAATCATTTTTTTTCACCAAAACCATTTCTAAATGACCAAAATATCCTTCAAAGACTATTTTTACACAAAGCTTGAGAAGTCATGTTTGTTCGAGTCCTTACTAACGTTCATGTTTTTGTCAAAATGATTTATCAACCTGCCCCAATCTTTCACAAAGCTTTGGCTGCATTCCACTTTACAGTTTCCATGTTTATACTGTGTTGTGTCTGAAAGAAAAGCTTTGTAGAAATGGAGTTGAGATGCAGATGCTGTTTCTTATGGGCATAAATCCATTAAAATTATGAGTTTACCTCAAATAAACCCTTTACAAAGTGATCTTCACTGTTTAATGCATATTAAACCCTAACTCGTGTCGTTGTCCTTGTTTCTTGCAGGTCACCTACAAAGGTAAGATTCATGACAACTGTAGTGTAAAAACACATTTCTGTGTCGATGTTTGCTAAACTAAATGAACAGGAGGCTCCATCTGTCAGAGTGTCAGGATGTGACTCACGGCAGCTTACATAACCAGCTCCTTCCTCTGCTGCAGGACGCCACAGCCAACAACAGCTCTCCAGCTGCCGCTGCAGCTCCAGCCAAGCCTGCGCCTCCCGCTGTGCCTCCAGCTCGCCCAGGGCCGCCGGCCAAGCCCCCTCCGCCCTCCATCCCTCCCACCGCCCCTGCCCGTGCCTCCACCACCACCACCACCACCACCAGCAGCAAGTATGTCAGTCAGCTACGTTAGGAGTGTGTGAACTGAGCTGCGTCAGTATTCCTGTACACACACCTTCTCTCTGTGTGTGGTGTGCAGCGCTCTCGATGATGGGTTCCTGTTGGATCTCGACCCCATGTCCTCTTCAGCAGGGGGGGCTCCAGCAGCCTCCTCCACCACTGGATGGGGAGGTGAGATCTCTGTTGTCAGAAAACCCAACGTTAATGCAGTGGTGGACAAAAACACAAGGCACATATTTCCGCCAAACAGAGTGACACATGCACATCACCTCAGCTTCAAGGTCAATCAAGGTCAAAGTTAAAACAAGGTGTTTGCTTGTCCAGGCCATATCTTCTTATCCACTCAAGAAAATTGAATTCAGAATTCATTACTTCAGAACAACTTCCCGTTTCACAACAAGAAGTGATATCTTTATTCACCTTATTCCTAGGCCCCATGCTGCCTTGAGTAAATTATGGGCGTGACATCCGATGCGGACCAGAACTGGTGTTTGTTTATGTGTAAACAGTACGAGCTAATGGAGTTTCTCTGAGTATTGTGGATTTATTTTAAACATGTAAGAACACCACCTGTCAGAGCTCCAACAGGACAATATGATCATACTGCTGCTGAGGATGAAGGATGGAGGACGAGCTGAAGAAGTGGCTGCAGATTAACATCTACTAGCATATTTAGCTACATCTAATAGCATATTTAGCTACATCTACTAGCATATTTAGCTACATCTACTAGCATATTTAGCTACTTCATTGACTGGGTTCTTCTGACAGTGAAATAATGAACAACCTGAAAAGCTCTGAGCTGTATCAGTATCTACACAGTAATAAGGTCAGTCTTGTTTTGTTAAAAGAGGTGGGACACAATCTTATTTATCTTAAATCAGACACAGAGCAGCCAAAGCCTTAAAGTCCTCCATCACTGAGCTTGGATTAATTGTAGAGAAAATCATAAAACTGAAGATGAACAAATATTATAAAGCTGCTTGATATACTTGAAATCATTCCTGATATTTTTGTCTCACTGTTTTCAATCCTTCTGAGGATCCACCGTCTCTTCTCCAGTGGTTTATTGTAGTCCAGACACAAAGTAGGATGCAGGTTTTCCTCTGTCGGCCATTTGTCAACAAAGTGAAATGAGCTCACAGACAGTTTTGGGTGGTCTCTTCAAGTTCACATTTTTCAGCCACGTTCTTCTCAATTCTTCATCTGTAGGTAGGAGATGGAAGCTATCTCTTTTCACAGGAACACTTTTTGTTTTTGGGTCCTTCGTGTTCAAACTCTGTTGTTGTAGCCACTGATTTATTTTGGTCTGGTTGTTCGTGCAACCATGAACACAACAGGTACCTGAACTCAGCACGGCTATTTTAGTAAACTTTATGGTTGTTAAATAAATATAAACAAAACAAAAACAGCATTTTATCTGCTAAACTGAATGCAAATTACTTTCAAATAAACCGCAGTTCATGTCCTGCTACCGTTGTTAACCAGTGCTTACTGCTACTTCCTGTCTGACAGGAAGTTGTAGCCATTATAATTTATACAGCAGAGCCTCCAGGAATAAGGTGGATAGATATTGGCACCTTCAGATACATAATATAATATTTTCTTTTTGAAGCTGTTAATTACAGAAGGCTAATTTAGTTCTGTTAGTGGATAACATCATCTTCAAGACTCGTTCATTTTCAAATTAAAAGTATGAAAATTACATCTTCAGTTTATATGTTTACACTCTTAGAAAACAAAAAATAATTTTTCCCTGTTTTGAACATGATCGTAGCAGAGCTCACAGCCTCCCTCCTTGTGTTACTGACTAACTATTTTTTTGTCTTACAATGAAAAAAGTTCATTTTTTGTCTATAAAGACTCAAAAAGAGCAAAAGTTAATGTTTTATCAGCTTCATGAACTGTTTAAAAATATGCACCTTAGATTTTATATTATTTTTGAACCTGCTGCCATGTTACTTTTTTATTTTCTTTTATTCAACCTATTTGTCTTGTTTTGTTCCAGATCTCTTAGCAGGCGGTGAGTATTATTTTTTCTGTTTCCTAAAGATTCAATATAAGAAATGCAGGAGGGCAACTGGTTCTCTTACTGCCAAGCTTTGCTTCTGTCTGTAGTCCTCTTTAAATCTTCTGTTGGTTGCATTGAAAACAAGGACTCATTTATCCATGCACTGAGTTTAAAGTTTAAATCTTTTCAGTCACTTTGATGCAGCTTTTTCTCTTCTGTTTGCTTTCTCTCTCTCGTGTCTGTCTGTTGGGGGATGTGTTGGGGTCTGGGATGCTGATTATGGGGTTTATCAACAAAGCAGCTCCAGCTGCTGCTGACCGAGCCTCTGAATCCGTCAAGGCTGACAGAGACTCTGCTGCCGCTGCCCCTGCCGCTGCCCCTGCCGCTGCCCCTGCCGCTGCCCCCCCGGCTGCTGCACCCACCACTGCCGCTGCTCCTGCAGCTGTACCGGCACCCACGCCGGCACCCACCTCACTGCCCGTCTCGGCTCCTGTTGCCTCCACAGCCACAGACATCGACCTTTTTGGAGGTCAGTGCGGGCAAAGGGGCAGCTGTAGACAGGAGGAGCCGCATGGCTGGATGCTTGCTTTTACAAGCTTCATCATCATTTAGACATTTATTTTACTGTTGAGTCCATCATCTAGTAACATTATGTACCATCAATATATTGATTAGATTTTTACTCCATAGCTCTTCTTTAAGATTGGAAAGAAGTGCTAGAGTATTTGAAAAAGTCTTGTCCATCATATTTTAAATTCTCCTGGTTATTTACTGTGTTTGGGAAGTTGGATGCTTCCTGTTGTGAGATAAAAGATCTGTGCATCACAGCATAAACAAACATGTTATTGTTTTTTTTCTCTATCTCTCCTATGATCAGCTTTGCTTTATAATTATTGAAAGCAGCAAAAACAGGCATTTATGCCCAATCTTAAAGATGGGAGCCATGAAGTATTTCACAGGCTTAGTTTTGGTTGTTTTGTAACAATGATACATGGACAACTAAAAAACTTTATAGGGTTAGGTTTCCCCCTAAATCAGGGATTAAGGTTGGGGTTAGGATTTCCACCTAAACAGGGTCATTAGGGTTAGGGTTAGGTTTGGGACAGGGTTAGGGTTAGTGTTACGATTGGGGTAGAGTAAGGCTTTCCCTTAAAAAGCTCCATTAGGATAGGGTTAGGAATAGGATAGCTTTAGGGTTTCCCTCTAAACAGGACCATTATGGTTAGGGTATACATATAAATATATGTATACATACATATACATATACTATGTGTATATATATATATATATATATATATAT